CTGCATAGCTTCGTCTAGTCTGTTCTTGAAGGCGTTCATACGCGGAGCGTCAACGATGCTATCAGGGAGGGTGTTCCACATGTCGGTGACTCGAAGCGAGAAGAAATGTTGTCGCATGGATGTGCTACAACGCAGTTTTTTTAGTTTATAGCCGTAGCCCCTGGTGTTGGGCCTTGTTTCAAATTCTAGTAATCCTTCTGGGACCTTATATAAGCCATGAATATACTGTACGTGTATGCCTCAACGAGTTCCCCGCGCAGAGGTCGATAACTGAGGCTTGGAAGCTTCATAATCTTTTATCTTTCATCATAGGACTTGCTTTTCAAGCCCTTAATTATCCTTGTTGCACGTCTTTGAACACTCTCTATTAAATTTATGTCCTTTTCAAGTTTCGGTGACCATACGACGTTTCCAAACTCTAGGTTCGGGCGCACGACAGCAACAAACAACTGCTTCATCGCTTCTGCATCTAGGAACTCGAAAGAGCGTCTGATCAGTCCAAGTCGTTGATTGGCTTTATTAACTTGACCTTCAATATGCTTAGAAAATTTCAACTCATTGTCGATATTAACCCCTGAATATTTTTCCATTGTCGACTTCGACATCATCACTCTGTCTTTGCAACCGTGTCTTCTCATACTGTAATCTTGCTGTTTGTAATGATGAATTGAGAAGTTATTATTTCGCTTCAAGATACCTTGACTTTTTCATTTTATAAGATTAATCACAGTTATGATTTGAATTTACAAAATAGAAACTGATATTATTAGGCAAAGTTTGTAACGGTTATAATTTGAATTTAAGATATAGAAAATCATCAATTTTGCATGCTCGCAACGTCACGGTTATGATTTGAATTTAATATATTAAAACTATTTGATATTAACTGCCCAGAGTCGTGACGCGAAGCAAGATTGGCTCCTTATTAACCTCTTAAAATGAAGTGAAGGTTCGCTCACGTGGTGGAAGCGTGACAGGCGACAGAGAGATAATTAGATGCTCGAGGTCAACGGGATGGAAATAGCGCCGGTCACGGCCCTTTGACCGTGCCATGTTAAATTATTTGATGACATAATATATGGTAACTATTCCAGCTTGTGTACGTTATCCACGCCATTAGTGCTGTTCATAGACATCAACAAAGTTAGAAGACGTGTTGTTCCTATGACATGAGAAACATATATTCAAGGTACCCGTTAATATGGTACGTATTCAATATGGTATTATATTAATATCAGAGTTTATAAATGTCAGGTCATGAAATGTAATAGAATGGAAAAAGTAATGAAAAATGTAATAAAATGGCATTTAATTATTCGTAATAATTTCGGGGTTGTGGTCACTTCTGTTGGGCATTTCAACATAAAGTTTTTATTTATTATAAGACAACCAACTTCGAACGTAATAAACATCTCAAAAAGCATGATTAAGCAACGAATAAAGCAGCTTTTCTTCTTGCGATAGCGTCGCAAGTGTGCGAGTGAAGGAAGATGTGCGGGTCGAAAAGTTTGTTCCTAGCTTTTAATTCCTTTAGCATGTTTTGCTAAGCCTTCCTTGTAGTACAGTTTTATGAATCGTCCACCAAATTTTCCATTCCATCTCTCTATGCCTGTCGAAAACAACGCAATGCATCCTTTTAATGACAAGGTCTATCTCGCAAGTAATGTAACGCCGCGAACTTTTTCAATGGCTAGAATGGCGATGTCGGGGCAAATTTTGGACGAGAAATTGCACCATTCCAGAGATTTAAGAAGCAATTTTAACAGCGTCGCTCTGCGGGAGATTCGAGTGGCAGCTGTTTAGTGAAAGAGACTCTTACTTTCAGTTGAGTTAGACTTTTTCATTGGAGTATCTGATACGGTACTTGAACTGAATTCAACTCTAGAGCTTATTCAAGGCTAATTAAAGCGATGAAGTTCCTTATAAAATGGATTTTCAGTTGTTATTGGGGTTGAATTGATATGATTTTTGGGTGTATCTAACGACCTGAATCTAAGCAATGTTTTCTCCTGTCTGTCTATGAAGTAAAATAGAAGCATTATAGTTGGACAAATTTCAGCCACATTTCTTTCCATGTTATGAGAAATATTCAGTCTATGTTGGCTTAAATCTTGCAAATGGTAATTTTCACTTCGCAGAACAATTCTTTAAGATTAATGTGGATGATCAAGAATTTCTTTATTTTTATCTTCGTTATTCTGAATGTCTTGACAACAATCTTTGCTAAGAATCCGAATAACTTTGTGTGTATGAGATCTGTATGACAAAGCAAAACGAAGATCGGATTTTGCAATTAAATGGCGATGCAAATTTAAATTCGGAGCGAATTAATGAGCAACTTTTTTCCAGCCTTGATGTCTCACACCCTGTTTGAGACATCGAGGAAAAAAAAGCTCATTCCAAAAAAATCAATGCGTCTGCCTGCTGTCAATCCTCGCGCTGTAATTATAGATTGAAGAAGGATTTGGTAGCTGGCAGCAAGCGTCCTATATCGCCTCTGCCAACCGGATTACTGATTCTTATTAATCCGCTCAGAGCTGATCGGACTTCCATTTAAAATTGTTTCGATCCGAGAGGTTATGCTGGCTTAATGAAGTTTAGAATGGATTTATTCCACGACAACTGATATATGATGGATTTCTTACTGATATTTGATAAAAATATTTTACTTTTGCTGTCAGTGCTTTCACAGGTTTGGAAAGAAATATAATTATATAGTTGCTGAATTTTTTCTACAAATCTCAATGCTATACATTATTTTTTTAATTCTCCGATTCATTGCGTGCCGAGTTTAAATAAAAAAAATATATTTACGTTATTACTATTTCAGAAACGAGTGGACAGACATTCGTGAAATTAGAACAACATTTTTGACGTAGTAAAATGAATAAATTACTGGGTTATTGGATGTTTCAGGTTGAATTATAGAAGTCCTTAATATTCATCCTATTTGAAAACTGACTAAACGGACACTCGTGAAATTCAAAAAGCTTTTTTCCGTTGTAAAATGATAAATTTCTTGGTTGGATTTAAGTTGAATTTAAAAAATTATTTTGATTGTGCACATTTCAGAGGCAGCTGAGTGTAGCGAGGCAGTGCATGAGTGTAGCAAGATATAACAGATAAGGAGTCGCTATCACGAAATCCTCACCGAAGAAAAAAAATCAACGAACAGGAAAAATCAAGCAAGACATATATACATATCTCGCTATTAGTATAGGCTGGCAGAATTTCTTCTCTTAAGCAAGTTTTGTTAAAGACCAGAGAATTAGTTTTATTTATTAGCTTCTTGTTAGTTTTTTCAAACGATATATATATCTCGCTATATATATATCGTGCATTTAAGTAACATGTAATGTAATCTTGTACGCTTCTCGCTCGAGTAAAGAAAGACTTGGAAATAAAAAGCTTAGTCAAGGCCGTGACTCATCGACCTGCCGGTGAACAAACACCGCTGAACATGAAGCAGCACGGCAGCGTCTTAATAGTGTATTGAATTATATTCCGTTACCGGACAGGTAAGTAACTTAATTTTTATTAATTAATTATTAAGTAATTAATTAAGTTAAATGAGGTACCTTATTAATTTAAGTAACACGGTAACTTAATTTGTTTGTGACACATTCAGTGAGTGAACATTGATTTGCCTGATTTTAATTCGCATGTTATACATTGCGTATGTAAACACTTACTTCTGTTAACTTCTGCGTGTAATACATTCCCTAAGTCAGCTTGTTGACGTTATCTCGCTTGATATAAATGTTTAGATTATAGCTTAAGATGCACGTTTCGCTGAAAAAAAAAATTAATAAATGTTCTGATATATGTTCTTTATCAATAAAAAAATAGATGTTCTGTACGCTGTGAGGTAGAAAAATAAATAGAATAAATCAATAAGTTGCAATTACGATTTTCGGTAAAGCGACAGTTATGTACCCAAAAGAAATGAAGTTATGTCTAAAAAGGAAGCCGGGTAATATTATATATATACAATTATTTTAGATTGTATATATATACACAACTAATTCAGCCTAATTCAGACTGCAGTCAACTTAAACTGCAGAATCCTTTCAGACATCAGACGTTGAATCAAAGTTTAATTAAACGTTCTTTGGTTGAATGAACGTTGAATTAAAGTTGTTTCGTTGATTCAACGTTGAATTAAAGTTTGTTTCGTTGATTCAACGTTGAATTAAACGTTCTTTTGTTGAATCAGCGTTGAATTAAAGTTGTTTCGTTGATTCAACGTAGAATTAAAATTTGTTTCGTTGATTCAACGTTGAATTTAACTTTTTTTGTTGATTCAACGCTGAATGTAACGTTTTTTGTTGATTCAACTCTGAATTAATATTTGTATCGTTGATTCAACGTTAAATTTAACGTTTTTTTGTTGATTCAACGTTGAATTAAAGTGGTTCGTAGATTCAACGTTGAATAAAATTTTGTTTCTTTGATTCAACGTTGAATTTAAAGTTGCTTCACTGATTCAACGTTGAATTAAACATTGTTTTGTGGATTCAACGTTCAATTAACCGTTTTTTAGTCGTATTTACGCTAATTAAACGTTGTTTCAACGTCATTTGTCTAGTGAGAATGACTGGTACGTGATCTTACCTCATCAGGGTCATGGAGATGATGATACGCGCCATGTTGACTGATGATGAAAGCCGCTGAAATACGGCCAAGAAATATCGCTCGCCTCTCCTCTCTACTACTGAGATAACTGCCTTTATTGTTGCAATTGAATAATCAAACAATGGTTCTGTTCATGAAGAAAAAATCGCAAACTTGATGACTATGTAGAGAATTAGTTTAATAATGTAAACAACACCCTTGTCGTAAATTTATGCCGCGTTCTCGTTGACCAATAATTCTTTTAATAAAGAAATAATATCCATTTCGTTTGTAACGTAGAGAATAGGTATAAATAATTTATACAGCACTCTTGCCATAAACTTCAACCGCGTTCTCGTTTTCAAAGCGCCCTGCTAAGTAGACTCTTAGAAGTGATTATTTATCAACGAGGGAACTCTTCCGCTTTGATCCACGCGCCCCTTCATCATGTAGCTGCCAGCACTGCCCTTCATCATGTAGCTGCCAGCACTGCCCTTCATCATGTGGCTCACTCTGCCAGCACTGCCCTTCATCATGTGGCTCACTCTGCCAGCACTGCCCTTCATCATGTG